TGTAATTTAGGTTGCTCTTGAATTCACTACGTAGCCCAGGCTGGCCTCAACTCAGTGATCCTCCTGCCTCAGCCTGGAGTGTGGGGATTTACAGGCATGTGCCACCACGCCCAGTCTGTGTCTTGCTCTTATAAAGGCAGTGGTAACTGATCTTCTGTAGGTTCTAGCATGGTGCCATATGCCAGGCAGTTGGTGCTAAGTGCTTCTGAATGGCCAGGAAAGACAGAGTCACCAAGCTGCTGAGGAAAGGGGTCTCTGTGATCTCCTGGGGTAATGGGGACAGCCCTCAAAGAGGGGACTGCTTCCAGGGGGCCTTGGCCCTCGTCCTGAGGGCAGCAGTGCTTAAATTCTGTGTGATTTCTCATGCACCTCCACATCTTTGTAAAGTCCTTTGTTATAAGTTAGCATGTGTCCTTTTTTATTTGTTTTTGTGTTTGTTTGTTTTTGTTTATGTTTTGAGACAGGGTCTCACTAGTAGTTGAGACTGACCTGGAACTCATTATGTAGCCCAGGCTGGTCTCGAACTCACAGCGATCCTCCTGCCTCAGCCTCCCGAGTGCTGGGATTACAGGCCACCATGCCTGACAGTATGTGTCCTTCGATTTTATTCTTTTGTACTTTGGAAGTTAGTCTTGCACTTGATAGTTTCTGCTACTTCCCAGGTCCAGGTCCAGGCCTAGAAATCTGTCCTCTTTCTTGGTCTCTTGTCCAGTCCCACTGTTAGGCTGAGGGTCCTTGCTGGCCCTGCTTCAGGGCTGGGTGTTTTCTTGGCTGCTAACTGCAGTGTGGGACTCGGGTGCCTGCTGCTGTGTGCTGCCCTGCACTTTGGCTCCGGCACATCCGCCCTGGGAAGCTATCCTTGCTGCTCTCCCCAACTTGTCTGCAGCCTTGGCCTGTGGTGGGATCTCTCCTTCTGGGACCCACTCCAGTGAATTATCAGCTCCCGAGGATAGGAAGTAGGTCTTAGTTTTGTGCCTTCTATACCTTTGTACTCTGTCCTTCATAGACATTCAACTATTTGGTTGGTTTAAGAGAAGAAAGGTGGCTGGTCTACAAAGGATTTGGGTCACACATAGAGCTGAAAGTTGGATTTCCCTGATGTATGGAACTTGCTACTTGGACATTGTCACGTCATTTCAAAGTAGACTTCCCCAGGGGCAATAAGGAGCAGAGAGGAGAGGGACGGGTGCCTGCCTGGTTTCCGCTGTGCATCTGTGCCTGCCAGCCCCTGTGCCCCTGCTCAGACTGTGGCCTCAGTGTGTCCATTGTAACTGAACACTGTAGAATTGTTAATTAGATTTGTACATAAAGGGTTTCTACTGTCAATTACACATCTTTATGAGATTAAAATCCAAAGTGTTTATAAAATAACTGACAAGAAGGCTGGCCTTCAGGCATAATTTGACAGAAGTCCTATGCCAGGCTAACTAACAAGAAAGGTGAATCGGTTCCTCCCTGCATTTGTAGCCTGTTTAAGGATGTGCTGTCAGGTAACGTTGCTGTGCTTATGCGTGTTTCTCCTGGACAGCGGCACCCTGTGAGTAGGCGCCTTTCGTGGTGATTCCCGCAGTACCATCAAGGTCACCTTACTGCAGTTCTGTCTCTGAGACAGCCCTTTTGAAAAGAACTGCTGCTTCATCCAGTCATCCTGTCTGCCCACAGTTCTTTTCTCTCTACCTGAATTAAAACTCCTGGGATCTTCCAAATTTCTTCCAGCAGTTTACTTTAGGAACCTGGAGGTTGGATGGTAAAAACTATTTGCTACATGATCTAGATTCTAGATCAATCATTCTTTTTTTTTTTTTTTTTTTTTTTTTTGTACCGGGGATTGAACTCCGGTCCTTGGCGCTTGCCAGGCAGGTGGCAGAACCACTGAGCTAAATCCCCAGCCCCTTTTTTTTCATTTCTAATGTTGAAAGTCAACATTGTTCATTACTGTTGAGCTGTAATCTCCCCTTTAACTCTATAGAGCCGCAGTTACCTTGGACACTTGTGTGCTGTAAGGGTTATCTGCTCCCCCTGGCTCACGTTGGTAGCACACAGTGGACACTTCACAGACGTGGCAGGAGTGGATTGCGCCTGAGCCTGCTGTTCTTACAGCACACTGCTGAAGCCTAGGGACAGAGCTATGTGCACAGATAGCTGTGAGATGTGTCCACCTCATCAGGAAGCCCTTCACGGTTTGCCTAAATCTGAAGTCTGACCTGACTGTCTTGGTCTCACCCTAATCCACCGTGAGTTGTCCACAGGTGGGTGGGCAGCCCTTTGAGCAGCCTCCCTGCCTCTTCGCCCCTTCATCAACAGTCCGGGATGCACCTGCTCCCCAGCCACTCTGTCTGTATCCATCGTAGTCCCCCTATCCAGAATCTACTTCCCGCAGTTTCAGTGAGCCTGGAATCAGCTACAGTCTCCGTAGTAAATGGGAAATGGATGTCGGAGTCGAGTGCAGTCCATCTTGCCCTGGATGTGAGTTGTCCCTTTGTCCAGATATCACTGCATACGTCACCACCGACGTCTTCGTGATCTCTTCACGATCCTCCTGCTGACCTGGTGTCATAAGGTCTGCTGCGGCTCATGCATGCCGGTGTCGGTCCGTCACGGGCATGGTGTCATTTCCCATCATCACATAGGAGAAGAGTGATGAGTTCGCTGCTGTGCGATAAAATGGGAGGCTCCACTGGCAGAACATTTACTCTGGTGTACTGTTAGGGTTGTTCTTATTAAGTGCTTACTGTGCCTCATACTTGACACTTTACCATAGGTACAGAAAAAGGCACTGATCAGTTCCAGACCTCCTTTGGGAATCTTGGAACATACCCATGAGATAGGGGGCTGCGGTATGCGCCCCCCTGTGCCTGCCTGCATACTTCTGTATGGTCGTACGTGGTGCGTGCTACTTTGTTGTCAGCTGCTTGGATGCAAGGGAATATTTTCTATCTTCAGTGAAGTCTCATCTAACAAGCTTGGGAGGATGGGGAAAGTGGGAGCTAGTGGCCTACGTCACTAGCAACCCTATTTTCCTTGTGTTTTTAGAAGTGGATGCTGAGCATCCTATTAGGAAGTGGCAGAAATCTCAATTGTTAAAGAACTCCATTTTTTGTCTCAAGTTTTCCATTTGTTCTGTTTCACACACTTTCAAATCTGCAGCAAGGTTCAAAATGACAGTGTCCATTAACAGCTTATACACGCGTGTGTATGTGTGTAAACATGAACACTATCTGTATTGACACGTTCTCTACTAAGGACAGTGCCCTTGCACTGATACAGTCATGTACAGGTGCTTCGTTTTGGGGGTTTTTTTGTTTTGTTTTGTTTTTTACCAGGGTTTGAACTTTGGGCATTGGGCTTGCGAGGCAGGCTGTAGAACCACTAAGTTAAATCCCCGGCCCTGCCTGCTTGTTCTTTACAGCCATTTGGTCCAGCATCCAGAGATCACACCTAGCATTAGTTGTTGTGTTTTGTAAGTCTCTCTGCCCTTTTTGTCTTTGTGACCGATAAGTTTGAAGAATCTGTGCTCAAATAGGAAGCATATAACATAAGTCTGGGGCCAGGGATTTAGCTCAGTGGCACTGTTCTTCTGCCTTGCAAGTGCGAGGTTCTAGGTTTGATTCCCGGTACCAAAATAAAATTATACTGATAATAATAACAATAACATAAATTTGCTTCATTGCTAGTGGTGCTAAGTTCAGTTCCTGGTTAAGTGGTGACTGACAAATATTTCCTTTTGAGAAGGGCCTCCCTCCACCTTCAGACTAGTAGTAATCTGTATGGTGATGGTTGAGGTCAGGGAAGTATGTTGTCCCCAGAAACCATTTTGTTCTGGTTCTGGCATCTTCTGATGAGCCCTCACTGAATCACTCTGTTGGTGGTTGGGCATTGTGATTTTTCTGGCGATAATGATTTTTGTCTATATTCCTTAATTTAAATAGGCTTTTTTAGAACAGGTTTAGGCTCATGGCACAGCTGAGCAGAAAGTAAAGAGTTCCCATAATCCCTTACCCCAACAGCCTCCCATGGTGTCGGTCGCCCACACCAGAGTGGTGCCTGCCATGCGTTGTGAGCCCGCAGTGACAGGTGGTCATCACCCCAGCCACAGGCACCTCAGGGTCCTCTTCTGGTGTGTGCCCTCTGTAGGATTGGGCACATGTGTGCAGTGCCCTTGTTTGTTGTTTAACTGTCTGTATAGTATTTAAGTAGGTTTTAGGTGGAGGTGATAATGGTGGTTGCTCATGCACGTGTGCACTTTCAGGCAATGTGCAAATGTGTAATTGTCATTTTTCAATAACTCAAGAACTATGTTAAGTGTTGGCAATTAAATTTATTATATATATATGCTTTGTTTTGTTTTGTTTTTAATGGTACTGGAGATTGAACCCAGGGCTTTCCTGCTGAGCTACATCCCTGGCCCTCTTTTGATTCAGGGTCTCATTAAGTTGCCCAGGCTGGGCTGGGATTGTAGCCATGCCCACCACACCTGGCTACAAATAAACTTTACAGATGACTAACTTCTTGGGGCACAGAGCTCTCGTGAATGAGAGTTGGAATTTGAAGCAGTACCTCTGCAGTGTAAAGGACTCTGGCTGTAACTGAAGAGCAGGTGAGGTTAGGCGGACTGGTCCTGTGTGCTGTTAGAGGACCAGCATTGTGCTCAGTGGAAAGCACTGTACACATAGGTAGTACTTGCTGCACAGCACTGAAAATTCCCACTAGAGTGTTCTTACCCCAGATGATAGAGAGAAGCTGTTGCACTGTGATGAGCTCAAACCTCCGCAGTCCCTCTGAATATAGTGTGTTGTTCCTGGCCATTCCGTTATCTTCCCGTCTCCAAAGCCAGGCACCTTTTGATGCATGATACGGTAGGAGTCTCTGTAACATTAGGAGTTGTGATTGCTGTGGAAGCTGCTGTGGCTGGGCTGTTATGTGGCTGAGTGGAAGACAGCATGGCCTGTCCTGCTCTGGGCAGGGGCCCCGCTGACCGAATCCTATCTGTTTCCTCCTAGGTCCCGTGGCAGTGCTGGTGGCCATGGTTCCCGTAGCCAGAAGGAGCTGCCCACAGAGCCCCCATACACAGCCTATGTAGGAAACCTCCCTTTTAATACAGTTCAGGGCGACATAGACGCTATCTTTAAGGATCTCAGCATAAGGAGTGTACGGCTAGTCAGAGACAAAGACACAGACAAGTTTAAAGGTGAGTCTTGGGAATTCTTATTACTGATTACTGTGAGGGGCTGGGGGACCTGAATGAAATGTATTACTGAACTGGAAACTTAAAGAAAGGGTGGCTGAAATAAACATATCCTTTTAGCTCATAGATCTTCAATTCTTCCTGGGAAAGCAGGGTTTTTTTTGTTTGTTTGTTTGTTTGTTTTTGAGGCAGGGTCTCCCTCTGTAGTAGAGACTCACCTGGAACTCACTATGTACCTGACTGGTCTCAAACTCACAGCGATCCTCCTGCCTCAGCCTCCCAAGTGCTGGGATTACAGGCATGTGCCACACGCCCTTGCTGGCAGCGTTTTTCATACAACATCATAGTTTTGTAGAAATAACTGGTGTATGCCCAGGTTTTTTGCCTGATCTTTATTTCCTGGCAGCCCTGTCTCAGCCAGCAAAGGAGTTGCCCAGGAGAGAACGGAGATGAAACTGAGGCCCTTTTCACCTTGACTGATTTGTATTTTCCTTATAGTTAGAAATGCAAAGATAACCTAGTTAGCCTTGCCAGTGTACAGCAGTAAACTGAACCACATGTGTTTGGGGCAGGGTTGGCTCATTTCAGATAAAGTCAGTGTCTACAGGTCAGGCTCTGTGGAGCACTTGAGCAGAGGAGTGAGGAGGGTTGGGTGGTCATTATTACCTTTTCCAGCGCTCTGGCGGGAAGCGTGCCCAGCCTGGCATGTGGTACCTTACACTGTGCATCCGTGGAAGCACAGGGGTCCTGTGCAAACAGCCGAGAAAGTGTTTCTGGTCTGTAAGTAGCAAGAGCACGTCACCTGCAGAGCCTACAGCAGAGTGTAGAACGCGGTCAGCCAGGGACAGCCTGGGAAAGTAAGTCCCACCCAGTGTTCCTGTGGTGAGCCTTAGAAATGCAGACCCGTGTATCGTGGTTGGCTCCAGCTGGGGCTGCATCAGTGGCCTGGCTTTTGGAGCTTGTCTCAGGGTCATCTGCTATTAGCAGCTCAAGAGTAGAACCTGTGTGGCTGGTCTGTTGTTGCCTCCATGAACTTCAGGGTGGTTTTCTCAGTTGTGCTCAACGTTATATGTACAGAATGGAGTGAGGGGGTGGATGTGAGAGGCTACTTAGACACATTCAGACTCCAGGCAGCAAGGAGGGGACAGTATCAGAGTTGGGCACAGGGTGTCAGTGGTGCATGCGTGGACCTAGGCCATCAGCAGACACCAGATGAGAATGCCCTTGTTATTGAGGATGTTTGCATCAACTACTTGAGTAGGAAGTCAGGCACCTCGACCCTGTTCAAAGCATTCATTCACTTATTTCAGTACTTGGGGGAGGCTATGGATTTGGCTCAATGGTTGTGTCACCTGTCTTGCAAGCGCAAGGTCCTGAGTTTGATCCTTCGTACCACCAAAAAAATGTTGTATTCAGTACTGGGGTTGAGCCCAGGCCTTGGTGGTGAGTTACATCCCCAGCCAGCCCTTTTTTATTTGAGATCAGCTCTCACTAAGTTGCCCAGGCAAGACTCAAACTTGTGTTCTTCCTGCCTCAGCCTTTGCTTAGCATTTTCTGATTGATAAAGTAAAATTTAGGGGTACAAATACCAGTCACAGTCTGTTTGCTGAGAATGAAATGTTCCCTTTTAAGGTCTGCTGTCACCTAGATGCCACAAAACTGGTCATTTTGGTGTAGGTTGGTGGGACCTGTCAGATCCCAGTGGATTGCAATTGGGAACCACCTGAGGAAGCTGGGGTTTCCTTTCCCTTGCAGGATTCTGCTATGTAGAATTCGATGAAGTGGACTCCCTGAAGGAAGCCCTGACCTACGATGGTGCAGTAAGTACCCCAGGGATCTTGGATGGCGTGAGCAGTTGGGATTTTTTTTTTTTTTTTTTTTTTTTTTTTTAGATTCTGCTGTGAAGAATTCGATGAAGCGGACTTCCTGAAGGAAGCCCTGACCTACGATGGTGCACTGTTGGGTGATCGATCACTTCGTGTGGACATTGCAGAAGGCAGAAAACAAGATAAAGGTGGCTTTGGATTCAGGAAAGGTGGACCAGATGACAGAGGTGATTGGCTTTTCTAAGACTGAATATAACTTGCTGTGTGCCCACTGCTTACGACTCCTGAGCATCTCTCACGGAATCTGTCCCTGAGGTTTGACAGGGCCTGGGGAGCTTTAAACTTTTTAAAAGCTTAGAAAGAATAGCTAGGCCTCTGCAAGGCTGGGGTTTTGTTTGTTTGTGTGTTTGTTTGTTTTTCTGTTGGCAGCAAAAGCTATTAGAACGATTTCATTAAACTCTCACCATGAGTTGAATGTCTTCCCAGTAAATTTTTCCATGTTTCTGCAGCAAGGTAACGATACAACTTCAATGTTTATCTTTTTGTGTATCCTCAGGAATGGGTGGCTCTCGAGAATCTAGAGGTGGCTGGGATTCCCGGGATGACTTCAATTCTGGTATCAGTATTTATAGTATCGCACTTCTTTTCCCAGTAGCCTTGCTGCCTGGTGCTTCTTGGGAGAAGCTGGCCTGGCCCGACTGCTTCTTTAGCTCTGAAATTTCCCATACGGAACTTTCCTGACAAGCACCCAGGCATGCAGTAAGCGTCTCCCAGAGCCAGGTTGGTCAGGATGGAGGCTGCATAGTGGCAGTTAGACCTGGGCCCTGGGCCATTCCTTTACCTGGCATCGTTTCTTGGTACTCAGGGCCTTGATCTGTCCCAGTAGTCTTTGTGCTGCCCGGGCCTTTGCCCAGGGGAGTGGCTTCATGTGCCTTTGTGTGTGGCACAGAGAGGCATGCTTGCTTCTGGAGATGACAGTATAGGTGCTCTAGAAGCTTCCAGAAAGCCTTAGAGCTGTGCTTCCTGGTGGCTCCTCCTTAGCTGGTGCAAGTTGTCTTGGTGGCCTGCCTGTTTTTTCTCAAGGGACTTGGAACTTTCTGTCCCTTTAAGAAAAAAGGATCCTGTTCTCAGCCAGCCCAGGAGGACCAGCGGGATCTCCACACAGGAGCTTGGTTTACAGATCAAGCCTCTGGGGCTGGGGATTTAGCTCAGTGGTTCTGCCACCTGCCTCACAAGCACAAGGACCCGAGTTTGATCCCTGGTACCAAAAACAGCAACAAAAAAAACTTGCTACAGATCAAGCCTCTGAAAATTGATTTCTTAAGCATTTCATCACCTCTACTGTTGTTTTTTAATTATGCAGGTAACTCATGTGTGGCAGGAATATCATTTATAAGCAGGATTTTAAAGGAAAATCGGGTCTGTTTTCCTCTCCTTCCCATAAACACGAGATGCTTGGTGTGCACCATTACATGGTACAGGAAAATCAGGCCCCCAACCCCCCCTAAGCAGATCTTGCCTTGTCCATGAGTACAGGAAAGGCTGCTGCTGCCACCCCTGCCCACTTCCAGTGCTGTGCAGGTGGTCTGTGGAGTAAGTTCTTGAAAGTCCTGCCCCAGGCAGAAGTAAGCTTCCTCGTAGAAGCACAGTATTGTCCAGTCCAGTAAATCTGTGACTTTATGCATGAGCTGGTCTCTGACAGAAACACACAGCAGAGGTCCTCCCGAGCCAACCTAGGGCAGTGGTCAGGGCCCTGTGACAGCTTTGCACCAGCAGGGGCTACAGGAGTAGCACATAAGCTCAGGGCTCCCCACTGTGTGCACCTCCTGAGCGGTGTCTTCCCATGACTGCCTGTCCCTCGGTCCCACGAGGCAAGGTTGCATCCAGCTCACATGCTCTGTGCTTGCTTGTTTGCTAGAGTCACAGCTCTGGTTTCATGCTTTACATGTTGCCTGGAAAAATAGGTCTGTTTCACTCTAATAGAGTGGTGCTGGTTTTTTTGTTTGTTTGGGTTTGTTTGTTTTGAGACAGGGTTTCACTCTGTAGTTGAAACTGACCTGGAACTCATTATGTAGCCCAGGCTGGTGTCAAACTCACAGGGATCCTTCTGCCTCAGCCTCCCAAGTGCTAGGATTACAGGCATGTGCCACCACTCCCAGCAATCATTGTAATTTTTAAAACCGTGCAAAATTGAGCATTACAGAACAGCACAAAGAGGAAACAACTACAAATAGACCCCTGGGGCTGGGAGTGTAGCTCACTGGGGGGTGTCTAGCATGCTTGAGGCTCTGGGTTCCTGCCCTGGGCACCACTAGTGTGCTCAAGTAAACACTGCACAGAAAGCTCAGAAGGGTCTTACAAGTACTGAGCCTTCAAGAACTCTGCCCAGAACCTGATTAAAGGGACTCATTAATGGAAACCTTGCTTTTTCCTTCCTGCGTCATTTCCCAGTGCACACTGTGCAGGGGAGCTGAAGTGAGGCTCGCACTTGGTGTTCACATGTGCTGATAGTCTCGTGAATGACTGCTTTGCGTGCCTGGGCTCCTGGGCCCAGCCGTGTGTGCTGTGGGGTGAGCTGATGTGTTTCATGCCAAAAGCTGGGGCAATTAAATCTAACAGGAAAGGTCAGGACTTCAGTTCTGCATGTGGAAAGGTTAACTTCAGTTTAGTTGGTGGAAATGTCAGGCTAAATGTGTGAATGCGAGTTTTTTGGTTTTGTTTTGAACTGTATGAATGAATTGCAGTGTAGTTGTTAGGACTGTATAGGACCTTGCATGTGACTATATGCATCCAAGTGTATTTTTCTCAGTCCAAAATCCCTACCACACATAACAAACAGACATGATATCTGTGGGATGTACAATCAGTTCTTGTTCAGAGCAGCTGAGTTCTTTAAAGTGACCCTGAGCACTGGCAGCCAGGCCTGCAAGCCTCTGGTCACCATATTCTCATCCCACAGTAATAAATCTTGTTTTCCATGTGTTTGTGTTCAGAGAATGTTTAATTCTGGGCCTCCAGTGTGTAGCATTGAGTCATGAACATCAGACTTGTAGCCCACTGCCTGCCACACTTTGAGGTGCATTCATGGCCTGTGTGACCCTCTGCACCATACTGCCTTGCTCTGGGAGCAGTGATAGCATCCCCCACTGCATCAAGGGCCATTGTCTACACTGACATCACCAGCTGGAAGCAGAGTGGGGTGGGGTCCCTGGGAAGGGCAGAGGGTTCCCACTGTCCTCCCGGGGGGAGAAGCATGTAATGACTCCTTGGAGAAGTGCCACTGGTTTGATTTGGGGATTAAATGTGAATTTTGCAGGTAGATTAATCTGAATAGAGGATTGACTGCATATAGAAAAATGTTCCTCAGGCTCTGATAGTTTGTCTCAAAAATCTGTGAGTCCCTAACATACTTTGAGCCATGACACCACCCTTTGAGCAGGTACAGGCAGTCCCCTACCAACCACTGGCAAGAGAGAGCAACTTTCTTCCTCCTAGGTTGTAGCTATGATAGTTAACTTCAGTGGGCTATGCTGTTAAAGTTAGAAGCTTAAGTAGCTCCCCCAGTAGCTTTTTATTTTTTCCCCTTAAGACAGGGTTTTGCTGTGTAGTTCATGCTGGCCTCCTTCCTCAGCCTCCCATGTGCTGGATCGCAGGCATGTGCCACCACACCTGGCTGAAAATTCTTCCTTTGCCAGATGAGAATCCCAGCATTGCTGGAGAAGACCTGGAAGATGGGGGGCCACAACCCTGGGGGGCAGCGGCCACCTCCCATAACCTGTCTCGAAGGTGCTTTGTGAGTGGTTCACACCCAGGTCACAGCAGGAACAGGCGGGGGTATCTATCATCACCCAGGGATGACTTGGTGCTTTCATTTCATATAATTTGTTCTTGTGATTTTATGTTTATAGACTTCTAAATTTCAGGTTTGTCTTTCTAAATAGCTGCGGATTTATGTTAGAAACTAGACTGAGGCCTGCTGCCAGGATTTCTGTTTATAATTATATTAGATAGAGGATAGTCTCATGTTTTTTTCCACTTTTCCTGCAAGCTGAGAACCTAAACAGCTCATTTTTTTCTTGTATAATTCTGTGTCTTTTTTTTACTTAAAAAAGAGCTATGGATGTGGTAATTACACAGCAGATTCTTGCTTGGACATGTTTTTAATGTACTTTATTTTGAACAAACCTCAGGTGCTGAGCAGACTAAAGAATTAAAAATTAAAACTCAGAGCCGATTCCCAGAACACCATGAAACTGGCTTTGAGACAGTAGTGTAAAGAGAATTCAGCGGCCCCTTTCTCCTTCAGGTTACAGGGATGACTTCCTAGGAGGCCGAGGAGGCAGCCGCCCAGGGGACCGGCGAGCAGGCCCTCCCATGGGGAGTCGCTTCCGAGACCCACCCCCACTGCGCGGCTCCAACATGGACTTCCGAGAACCCACAGAAGGTATGGCTCATCCCCCCGGAGGGTGACCGCCCCAGCGAACGAGCCCTTTGTCACCATGCGCAGCGGTTGCCTCGTCACCCTCATCTCCAGTAGGATACCTGACAGTCCGGGTCTCTCCGCTGTGTATCTGAGAGCGTGGGCTAAGCCAGTGATGGCAGACTTTTTTAGAGCTTTCAGTGATCCAAAGCCTGCTGTGGCACGTGTGCTGTATGTCTGCCCCCTCCCGGGCTGGGCTGTTGGTTGCCATCTTCCATCTGGCCAGTGTGCCTCGGTGTGGGGTGGAAGCCATTCTGTATCAACAGCATTTTTCTCTCCGCAGAGGAAAGAGCACAGAGACCACGGCTCCAGCTCAAACCTCGGACAGTGGCAACACCCCTCAACCAAGTAGCCAACCCCAACTCTGCTATCTTCGGGGGAGCCCGGCCCAGAGAGGAAGTCGTTAATAAGGAGCAAGAATGAGCGTGCAGTGGGGAATGGGGTGTGGGGAATTAGAGCAAAACCACAGCCTGAGGGCCCTGGACCGGCTGCCCTGCAGTCACCATTCCTGCGCCTGACACTGTCCTTCCTTACAGTGGAAACACAGAGCTTGTGAATGCATGTCAGCTGTTAACAAGTGGTTTTTAGTACATCCTTGGCTTTGCTGTATCTATCTAGTGCCTGTTTCGTGCCCCCCCTTCTCTGTCCTCATTTTCCTCTGTCCTTCCTCCCTCTTGCTCCCGTGTCTTCACACCACACGGTGTCCAGAGGAGGAGTGAGGGCCGCCACGTGGGAGGGGCGGGCCCAGGTGCTGCTTGCTTTGGTTCTCCTTTGCCTTCTCTCTCTCTCTCTCTCTTTTTTTTTTTTTTTTTCCCTACATGGGCCAGACTTGATTTTTCTCAGTGCTTCTATTCTGACCCGCATGCTGAGTTCTGTGTTGCTGTAGCTTCCGGGACAAAGCGGAAATTGCTGGCAAGTCGGCCAGCACCTTGTTTGTATCCAGCTGTGATCAGCATGCAGAATTGGAAACAAGGGAAAATTCCTGTTGAGCCTTGCAGCTTCCTCCCTCTCTGTGGTCCTTCTAGGGTGTCCTGTTGCCATCAGCTGTCCCTGGGGACTGGACAGGCAGAGTAGGTGCGAGGCTCTGGGGAAGAGTGACAGGTGTGTTGGTGGTGCTCCTCACCTGTTAACCAAGGGCTCTGTGTGTTCATGCAGCTTGCTGTGTTCTCCCAAGACTGTCCAGATAGCTCCCTGCTCCGGAGGCATCATGGGATCTCCTGTGCTGTCTGGTGTGGCTGCCCAGTGGCTCTTGTCATTTCCCCGGGGCTTGGGTGCTATGCGGACTGGGTGGTGGTACTGCTACACTGGGCTGACACAGTGGTGCGGTATCCGTTTGTCTGGTGTCTTCCCCCCTGCATCTCTTCTCCCAGAAGTAACCTAACGAGATTGCATCCGACTGCCCCATGAACCCATAGTGGAAATGGCCTCGAAACTGGCACTTTATTTCCCATGAGGATTGGAGGTTTTCCCATGCTGAGCTGTCCAGACCCTCTGACTACAGAAGACCATGGATGATGGCTGGCCCCCTTGTCTCTGGGACGGTCTTGCTCATGTGCAGTGGTTGGTGCTCCCCCGGGGAGGTGTTGGGCAGCAGCTTTTGAGCTCAGATGCCTGTGTGTGAGCAGATGGGAAACTCTTTAGTGTCTGAGTCTCAGTCTGTCCCGGTGGGAAGGGACCCGGTCAGAAAGGCTGGAAGGCCAAGGGGACAGCAGTGCATTTGTTTGGCTCAAGGTTCCCCGCTAGCCGTCATTCTTAGCCCCTCTGATTTGTCTCTGTTGCAAGGTCTCAGCAACTTACAGAACTCGCACCTCTCCCCTCTGCCTATCATCTTCCTCTGCCTCTGAGATAAGAACCATTTGTGTAACACCAACACCTAACTTAAGAAAGACATGCATTATGTGGTTGTAACAAACCCGATGCTTTGAGATGACCCATACACATCCTCAGTGCAGAAAGATCAAGAGCAAGACAAATCCATCCAAACCGCTGGGCATCCAGCTGGCTCCCAGATCAAGGGTGGAATTCCAAACGACACATTCAGCTGTATGACAGAAAGTAAATCTATGGATATGGTATTTTGTGAATGATCTTTTAAATAAAAGAAAAATCTTACGTAATAGTTAATGTCCATCTTGATTTTTGAGTTCTGTTTAGTGTTTAGGTGCTTCTGAGATTGAATTTTAACCTGGGAAGCAGTGGCTGAGTTCTGAAGAGTATACTGTAATGTGAGGTATAGCTATGTTCAATGATATTTTTTAAAGCTAGAAATAGGACACCAGTGTTTCTCTTCCTCTTTTCTCACTTCCTAAAAATGTAATTTTCCCTAACCACACAGAAACCTTCCAGTGGTAATTTTGCTTAGGTAAAGAAACAATTTTTCCCTAGGTGGAGGAAAGCAAGTTTTTTACAGCTGCTTTCTTGTGGAAGAATTTCTAGCTCCTCACAGCAGTGGTGGGCGGTGCCCCTCAGCAGTTGAGGTACAGGGCTTCTAGGGGTGCCTAGGAAGGCAGGGCTGCGTGAGGTGGGGCTCACCTAGAGGAGGGGCCTGGTCAGAGCTGGCCCCAGCAGAGAGAAGGCAAGAAGGCAGCAGGGCAGGAACGGGGATTCCAGTGCTGGCACCAGGAAAACAAGTGTAGACCCGAATTGGCGGTGGGGTTCTCAGAGTGGCCACGTCCCAGGCACAGAAAGGGCAGAGGGCCTGAGGCGTCACGGTGATCCTGGAGTTTTAACAGCCTGCTTGGGAATGGAGAGCGGGGTTTATGGCTAGAAATTATCTAGGACTGGTGGCAGAGGTGTGAGCCTGGCTCTAGGTGTCCCCCCAGTGCCAGAGATTGTCCCGTGTGACTAAAGTGCAGGGAGGCATGTGTCCCCAGGGAACCCCTGGATGGGAACAGTCTTGTTCCTGTGTTTGGCACCAATGATATCTTTGCTGTCTGAACAGCTGTGAGGCTCTGCAGTTAATGAATGGTACCAAGTGAGGTCCTTTAAACAAGATGTTGAGGTTTCTGAAGATCCATTGTCTCTTTAAGACCTGGCCCTGTTGACTCTCTTGGGCAACAGGCTGTGTGTGGGCTCAGAAGGCAGAGGGTTCCAGCTGTTTCTCTTTTTTTTTTTTGGTTTTTTGAAACAGGGTCTCACTGTATAGTTGAGACTGACCTGGAACTCACTGTGTAGCCCAGGCTGGTCTCGAACTCACAGCGATCCTCCTACCTCAGCCTCCCGAGTGCTGGGATTACAGGCGTGCACAAGCACGCCTAGCTCCCAGGTATTTCTTAGGGTAGAGAGGACATAGTGTAACTAGCGTCCACTACCCCCTCCGTGACATCCAGAACCAGCCTGGTTCTCAGCAAGGTCGACTGCTTACCAGAGATGAAATGTGACCAAGAATCACAGTTACCTAACACAGGACTTGAATGTGCCTGGCGTGAACCAGGCATCTCAGAGGAGCTTTGTACTTCCTTTGGTGTTTTTCACCATTGCTCAACAAAATGGAGATATTTTGAGTTTTTGGAGACAGTCTCACTTTGTAGTTCAGGGTGGGCTCACACTTGCAACCCTCCTACCTCACCCTCCCGAATGCTGAGGTCACACAGATGCATCCCACCGTGTTCAGCTCAGTCTCCAGTACCAAGGTTGCTTGGAAATTGATAGGTGTCTTTGTTGTATGGATTCAATTTTTGAAATTGTGGGCATAGCGAAATCCCCTGTAATCCCAGTACTCTGGAATCTGAGGCAAGTTCAAGCCTAGCCCTCTTCAATTTTGTAACATTGGGAGACTGAAGAGGGGTGTAATGCAGAGTTCCTGGGTCCCCAGTGCCACCAAAAAAACAACCAGGCTCAATAGTTTTAAAAGGTACTTTATTGGAAAATGATGGGAGTGGTGAGTAACAACAACACAGTCTAAGATTCAGGACACACAGGAAAATTAACCACTTGGGGAAATAAAGTAGATCCCCAGGAACTAGGGATCTGACAGAAAAATTAAAACCTACTGAGAAGTCGAGAGAGCACAATACAGACAAGAAACAATCTGTACTTCCTGGCTCCCAGCTCATAGCTTGCAAGAAAGACAGTGAAAGAGGGACTCCAGGGGCCTTGAGAAAGAAATGCAGTGGCAGAGCAAACGAAGTTGCTGTGGTCTGCAGGGAGAGTGGGACTCTGGTCCTGAGTCTCGAACCACTGTAGGTGGTGAGTGACTGAAAGTACTCACCTTATCCCTGGAATGTGGTCGGATGCCATTTCAGGGAGGGGCTGATGGTTTGAATCAGACTGGCAGCTGTGGGATGGCTGTACTCCCAGTGTCACATTCCCACAGTGACTGGGTGATAGCTGCAGTCAGGGAGCAGCTGGGAAAGGACCCCCTTCATGATTTGAGCCAAACGCTCTCTGGCCCTAATCCCACTGCCAGAGACCTGAGTTGCTCTGGATTTGGAAGTTGCAGCGTTGGCATCCTTGCCCTGCTCCTGTTGCCTGCTGGTCTGGGTGCTCCCTTTATCTCCCAGCACGATCAGGGGTACATGTTGACTTGGACACTTCCCCAAAGTTGGAGAGCCCAAAACACTACACATTTAAAATTAGAGTGGACCAGGGGTTTAGCTCAGTGGCTTTGTACCTGCCTTGTAAGTGCAAGGTTGTGAGTTCATTCCTATACCAAAAAATAAAATCAGAGATGTGTATGTGTGTCTTAGTTGTTTTGTTTTTGTTTTCTTCTTCACCAGTTTCTTTGTTTTTGGTTTGGTTTGGTTTAGTTTTTTTCTCTTCAGTTTTTCAAGGTTTGGGGAATTTTCCTTTGCTTTTTTCCTTCTTATTTTCCTCTTTAATTTTTCTCCCTTTTTTCTCACTTTTTCCCATATAATATTTTTTCTTTCTCTTTTTTTAATTTTCTATTTCTTATGAGTGTTTTGTTACCTTTTTTCGGGGGGGACCATTTAGGCAAGTAAATGTTTATTACAATTACACTGAAAATTAAGTCCTCAAATTTTGAGAGAATGATGTTCAGGTCTTTTGAGGTATTTATATGTGAGAAAGCAAGTACAGTGCGCCCTAGACGTGTGAACTCGGTTCATTCACTAGGGCTGCTTGTGACTCAAGTTGGTCAACTGAAGGCTCAGCTCCTCTACACAGCCTTCAAAGTCTCGCTCCTGTACACAAGCAGATCTCAGTGCCCTTAGACATTGGCCCAGGATTCCTCAGTTAACCCCACACAGTAAAGGGTGTGGTAATGTTCCTTCCAGAAGTCTTAAGTTCTAGAAAACTTATCAGAGACCATCTGGAAGCACACTGGTATTTGGTTCATAACTCAAGATTTTGTTCCTAAATTAAACTAAGACTCCAGTTGTAACTTGTTTGGATATCCGGCCAGTTGTAACAGGATGGTCCACTGTGTTTCAATATAAAGGAAAACAAGTCTGAGTGCTTACCCTTGCTTCCAGTGTAATCTGCCTAATCTTCCTCACACCACGGTACTTCAGCTGTACGGCGCCCATGTTGTGTTAGCTCAGTGTTACCTTTAATCCCGTAAACATGCTTCTACTCCCTGGTAGGATCCTTTGTCCTACACCTTTCTCTTCTTACCCTGTAGTTTAGGGGTTCAAATTTTTCTCTTACCTTCCTGCATTCCCAACCCCCTATATCAGTGATGACAAACCTTCTAGAACTCAAGTGCCCAAACTACAACCCAGAAGCCCACCATAAAGAGCCAACACTGCAAATAAACCTGAACACTGAGGTTTTCGATTAGAACAGCTCTTACCCAATGTTCGGCTGTTAAGGAAACTTGGCTCCTGTATCAACAGGATTCTGCGTACCCGCCATGGCACACGTGACAGATTCACCGCCACTGCCCTAAATCTTAATGATATAATCATAAAGTTTTATTAATCTTTAGTTAACTCTGTAAGATTACTGTTGCAGGGCCAGGTATATAGCTCAGTGGTATCAAACCTGCCTGGCAAGCACAAGGTCCTGAGTTCAATCCCCAGTACTGGAAAAATTACTGTTGAATTATTTTTCGGCCATGCACAGACATAAGGCTGTTGCATTTAGTACATGGTGATAAGTCAGTATCTGGGTTGTCTTTTTTTTTTGAGACAGGGTCGCACTATGTAGTTGAAACTGACCTGGAACTCACTATGTAGCTCAGGCTGGGCTTGAACTCAGAGCAGTCCTCCTGTCTCAGCCTCCCGGGTGCTGAGTGCTAGGATTACAGGCATGCGCCACCACGCCCGGCTGGGTTGTCTTCATGTTTACACCATACTGTGGATTTCTTCTCTAGGGTTAAGGGTAGTACATAATTGGTCCTTATGCTATGTTAGTACCATTCTGTCTTTAGTGATACTACTGTAGCTGATTGGTTTTATATTACCAGGGTTGCATAGCATTGAACTTGGGCCCTTGCGCTTGTGAGGCAGGCGGTGGAACCACCGAGCTAAATCCCCAGCACATTATTGTTCTTATTAATGAATTTTCTCTGTAAGTCAACACCCAGATCACCTTTGTGACATTAACAACACTAAAGTACATTTCCAGAGAACTCAGTGTTGAAGCAATTACACTGCATCCTCTCCTCCCAAATTAACTGAGATGGTCAGATCTCGGGACCAAGGCAAAGAAAGGACTATGGCTAGCCATACCTAACTAAAGTATACCACTGAAAAGCAACTAAAGAGATCTATACTAGCAACAGAGTCTTTACACAGTTAAGTGTCCACAAACCTCAGTACAAAACAAAACAACAATGGAAACAAGAAAATGAGGCAACAAAATGCCTCCCAAAGCTACCAACTCCCCAAAACCAATCCAGGGATCTTCAAGGGGGAGAATAGCATAACAGTCACACTTTAAAATTACTCAGAAGACTAACAGAGGGGGTTAGAAAACACATCAAAGAGGTATTGAGCAGGGTCATGGAAGATTAAACAAATAATGGAAGTAATAACTA